AAAACTTGTTCTTATATGTGTGTAATGATAACTTTCACAGAAATAATGAAACTGTATTAATTTACCATCTTTATATTAAAGGTTACAAACTGTGGCAGACATGGAGATGTGCCACTGTCAAACAGAGAAATTGATAGTAGATAGCTTGCTTTGATTTTGGCATTTTCTTACCCAAGAAACCAAATATTCACTTTAAAGAAATCCCTGACCAAAATTAATCCCCCATCAGTTTTTCCTTCACCTGAAATTGCAAACCCTTTCTCTTCTGTTGGACGCCAGGCTTACCAAATTTGAATCTCAAAAGATATGGCTGGGCCTGACAGAGACTGGAGAACCCCAAGAGTATGGCCCCCTGACATCCATTTAGCTCAGTAATAAAGTCACTCCTAAGGTTCACCCTTCATCCAAAGATTAGGCAGGCCCATAAAACAAAACGAGACTAAAGGGGCACACCTGCCCGGGGGCAAGGACAAGAAGGCAGGAGGGGACAGGAAAGCTAGTAATAGGGAACACAAGGTCAAGAAGGAAGAGTGTTGCCATGTCGTGGGTTTGTTAACCAATGTCATAAAACAATATGTGTACTGTTTAATGAGAAGCTAGTTTGTCCTGTAAACCTTCATCTAAAGTACAAAAAAAAAAAAGTTATTTTAAAAGAAAACAAACAAAAGATACGGCTGGTTGGAGGGGCAGGGACTATCTTGTGAACTGATATCCCTTGATCTCAACAAAAGGGGGAGGGCGAGTTTCAATTAATCATGTTAAGATTAGCCAATGGTTGATCTTCTATATTTCTCCCTCCTCTTGCCTTTGTAAGCCCCATTGTTCCTAGCTTCTTTGAGCCATTTGCTTTCTCTAAAATCAAAATAGTTTTCCCATATACATCTAGAATAACTGCTCAGAATAAACCTTATGTTCAAATTTTGGTGAGTTTTGATTATTTTTATCACTATCCAGATCTTTGTTCAAGAAAGGACTTGCTGCCCTACCCGGGGGCAGGTAGTATGATCAGCAGACAACCTCCAGCGGTCAGCTCATTCAGAGTCTTGTGTCAGCTGCAAAGTCATGCCTTTCCTGGGGGCAGCCCACATCTGCTAACTGATCCAGGGAGGGGTATAAAGGCCCAGGGTGGGACAGTCTAACAGCTCCAGTGCTCCGTCTCATGTTCTGTTTAATTTCTGGAGAATTAACTTCAACACAAATTAACTCACCCAACCAAGGTGAACAGAATTGTCATCTCCAACCTCTTACAGCAACTGAGGCTACAAATTTGGGGTATTAACTGAAATCCTTGTCACTACTTTTGGGATGATTTTACTTCAGCCCTAGGTTTCATGATAGTTTTCTGCCTAATGTAAATTAATTTTGCGCATGCGCGCGCACACACACACGCACACACACACATCCCATACACACATCCTCATGGTTTGTAGTTCGTCACAACCAGCATTGCACCTTATCTGGGTTCTGCTACAATTTAACTTTGAGAACCTGTGCCCTGATGGCACAGTGGTTAAGAGCTTGGCTGCTAACCAAAACGTTGGCAGTTTGAATCCACCAGTCACTCCTTGGAAACCCCATGGGGTAGTTCTACTGTTCTGTAGGGTCACCATGAGTCAAAATCGAGAGGTTTGGTTTTGTGTTTTCTATGCTTAGTTTAACAACCTGTGATATGCAAATGACACGACCTTGCTTGCTGAAAGTGAAGAGGACTTGAAGCACTTACTGATGAAGATCAAAGACTATAGCCTTCAGTATAGATTGCACTTCAACATAAAGAAAACAAAAATCCTCACAACTGGACCAATAAGCAACATCATGATAAACAGAAAAGATTGAAGTTGTCAAGGATTTCATTTTACTCGGATCCACAATCAATGGCCATGGAAAAGCAGTCAAGAAATCAGACAATGTATTATATTGGGCAAATCTGCTGCAAAAGACGTCTTTAAAGTGTTAAAAAGCAAAGATATCACTTTGAGGACTAAGGTATGCCTGATCCAAACCATGGTATTTTCAGTCATCTCATGCATGCAAAAGCTGGACAACAAATTAGGAAGACGGAAGAAGAATTGATGCTTTTGAATTATGGTATTGGTGAAGAATATTGAATTTACCTTAGACTGCCAGAAGAAAGACCAAATCTGTCTCGGAACAAGTACAGCCAGAATGCTCCTTAGAAGAAAGGATGGCAAGACTTCGTCTCATTTACTTTAGACATGTTATCAGGAGGGACCAGTCCCTGGAAAAGGACGTCATGCTTGGTAAATTAGAAGGTCAGCAAAAAAGAGGAAGACCCTCAATGCGAGGGATTGACACAGTGGCTGCAACAGTGGGCTCAGGCATGACAGGGATTATGAGGATCATGCAGGACCAGGCAGTGTTTCGTTCTGTTGTACATGGGGTCACTATGAGTAGGAACCAACTTGACAGCACCTAACAACAACATGCTGTTTCCTTATCCATAAAATATGGATAATCATCTAGGGCTGTTTTGATGATTAAATGAGTTAATACATTAAAAAGTTTGAAGAACTGCCCCTGGCCCATATTATGTATTTAATAAATGTTAGCTATTATCTTTATTGGAGCCCTGGTGGTACAGTAGTTAAGTGCTAACTGAAAGGTTGGTGGTTCCAAGCCACTAGCTGCTCCTCAGGAGAAAGATGTGGCAGTCTACTTCCACAAAGATTTACAGCCTTGGAAACCCTATGGGGCAGTTCTACTCTGTCCTATAGGGTCACTATGAGTCGTAATTGATTTGACTGCAACGTTTGGTTTGGTTTATTATCATTGTTCTGACTCACAGGGTTGCTATGAGTCAGACTTGACTTGACGGCAGTAGGTTTGATTTGGTTTTTATCATTATTGGTCTGATAGGGTTCTACATTGCCTTTACATTTTACTTTCTTATCTGTCTCATCGGTCAACATTCTGTAATAATCTATTGACAAAGTGATTACAGAAAAAGTTCTTATGTTTCAAGTCCTTTAATTATCAGACTCTTCAGATTTTAGGATCTAGGTGAAGTCCTAAACTCTAGTTGAATTTATTTAAACATTATTCTTCCTATCAGTTTTATATTTTGGGTTTTCCCAATTCATGAAGCTGTAAAGCAGACGTGTGAAGACTAAATTGGGAGCATAAATGTAAATGGTTTTTCTGAAATATAAAACACTTATGAAAATATGAGATATCCCAATAGTCTTATGAAGCTAGACAACTCTGCAATTACAAAATGAAACTCTCTGCTCTACAAGTAAAATTCCCTCCCCTTCCTAAAAATAATGATTCCGACCTTTGTGGTTAAATATTAAGTTCAAATGAAGTTGATTTAATAAGTACAATTTAAAAATACTAATGAGGGCGTACAGGAGGCCTATTATTGGGCAAAGATATGAAGATGTTGAAAATTGGTTTAAAACTTTTAGGATCAAATGTTGGCTTCTATTATCAGTTCTAGGATATCGTCGATGCAGTCCTCCAGAAAATTGTGTTGAAGTCTAGGCTTCTGTCAACGCATAAGAGATCTGCTTACATATCGGAAGAAGCTTGAGTCCTTAGTAATCTGCCTTAATTGTGCATCTTCTTGAAGTCATGCATATTTAAGGAAAAAAATGAAAAAGCTGTTCTTGGTTTTGACCACAGATGGGAATTTTCTGTCACTAGCGGTAGCGCATGAAAACATGATCCAATTTTCATTTAGCCATTTCTATGGAGCCTCGAAAGGCTAAAATTCTGCAGACAACGGAACTTACTGTTTAAGACTATCTATACTTTTAATAAATCTCCCCTCCCCCCCCCCCCCAAAAAAAAACTGTATATTTCGATACGCCAGTTTGGAAAAACCAACTCCAGGTCTCCACGACAAAATGGAAGCACACAGCCCTCGCAACCTTTTTCTGTGCAGGTTTTTAAAAAAGGGGGGCGGGTAGAGAACTAAGGCTTAAAACCCCCAAATGCTTCCACTCGCAAAATATTTCAGAGACGGCTGGGAGTCTGGTGCAGGCAAATGGGCGTTCACCCGGAGGAGATGCTACTAGTCAGAGTGCAAAGACAAATGAAGCGCACTCTTTCATTGGGCTGGTTTACGCCGTGGAGACGACCTTTCCCTAGATATTCCTTCACAGTGGCTCTGGACCCCATTTGGGGGTCACCCCAGACGTCGAGGTGGGGTAGGGCCAGAGCAGCGCCCCCAGCGAGCGTCAGCCTCAGACCCCGGCCTAGTGAGGCCAGCGAGGGTCCCTGACACGCCTTTGCAACGGGGTAGGGCAAGGGGGGAGTGAGCTTTCTTCCCAGACTCCAGTGAAAAAACAAGGAAAAGAGGAGGCGTGTAACCTGGGCCTGAGGTGCGGCCTCCGGGAACAAAGAGGTCGTGGAAGCACCAGCATCCGAGGCTCTGCGTGCGCGTTTGGGACACTGCTAGTCCCACAAATCAACCCCGCCAGGGCAAAGCGCCAGTGCTTATAAAAACGCAGATTCATAGATTCCAGTCCATAACAACAGGATCACGAACTCGATCAGATGGCACCTAAAAATCTGCATTTCACACAAGTGCTTCAGCTGATGCGGGTTCAAGGAAGTCAGAAAGCAATCGCCTCAGAGCCGGCAAAGGGTCGGCCTCTCAACTCGCACGAATTCAGTCCAGCCGCTGCAGCTGTGCAGCATCTCAACCGAGCCTGGTCCTTTTCCTTGGTCCCACCCCACTGCTCAGCGCGGATTGGTGGTGGAGAGCAACTCCGGCGCTGATTGGGCAGCGGAAGAGCCGTTCTTGGCAACTGTAGGGTACGGGTGCCCCAGAGTGCTAAATATATCTTCAGACGAGCAACCGCGCCAGCAGCGAATCGGATCATTATGGAGGTGGCATAGGCGATATCCCTGACTTGAGCGCATCAGCCTGTCCCCGAATTCTTCTTTCCTCTGTTTTGTTTTTCATTCCTCTCCTTCTCCCCCCCCCCCCGCCCTCCAGTCCGCGACGACTGGCTCTTGACTCTGTTCAGGCCTCGGTGAAGGTGAGGAGCGGAGCCGCCACCACAGCTTAGTGGTGCGCTCTGAAATGGCCGCTGCCTTGAGTTGTCTAAAATGGCGGCTGCGGGATTAGCTGGGGACCGCGGCGCTGCTCTGCAGCTCAACGGCAACGAAGACCTTTTCTCCGTCGCTGATGGAGATGAAGTAGAAAGATAACGTTGGGTGCGAGACGCTTTCCTGTGTTTTTTAGCGGAGGCGACCGCCCGCGGAAGAAGAAGTCCGAGGCGAGGGTGGGCTCCGACAGGACGCTGTCCCCAGATGTGGCGGTCCGCGGGGCACTGCGCACCAGGGACAAGGAGGAGTTGAGGCATAGCTGACCCGGGCTGCTTATCGGGATGACCATTTAAAAAGGCGTTTAGGTGCTGGCCTTAAAAAGGGCTTTAGGTCCGTAACTACCTGCTGCGTAGTTATTAGTTCCTGGACTGTATTTCTACCCGACCCTTCAAAGCTGGAAGGAACCGCCTTAGAGTGAGGGTGAAAAAATTGTTACCTGTCAGTTTTACCGCAAGGAGAGACAAAAGATGAGGGTTCCCCCCTCCCCATACCTCTTTCAGAGATTAGAATGGAAACTTTACTCCCAAGGGAACCCAGACTCTTTGTTCTCGAGAGATTCGGGGGAAACACCTTCTGAAGAGGTGGGGATGAGGCCCTCCTTCCTGAAAACAAGGCTTCCTTCTTGGCTGTGTCCTCTGGCAGCAAGGGAGAGGGCGCCTAATCTTTTTGATGAACCAGTAACTCCACGAAGTTTTCTGTTGCACTAGCCAAATCCAAATCGGGATGTGGAGAGACAGTCTGCTCTTTTGCTCCTAATAATGGGGAAGTCAGAGTATATGTTGCTGCCAAGTTTAGACCCTTGACTTTCTGGCAGTTGTAACCCATTGTTAATCCATTTCTTTCTGCACTGCCCAACTTTTGGTACTAGTTGTTTTTAGTACTTGGGGAATTAAAAGAGTAGACAGGAAAACACAAGTAATAGCTAGGCATGGGCTCTGCAAACTTTTTGGGTTCTGTTCTTGGTTCTTCATTTACAAGCTATGTTAATTTAGCAGGTGACTTCACCTCACTGTGTTTGTTGGGTTCATATCTAAAGTGGGGTTATTAACAGTCCCTGATACTCACATTTGTTTTGAAGATTAAATAATCTATGTGCGTTACTTAGCACAGTTACTGGCACGTAGTAAACAATGTTCACTAAGTAAACATTAGTAATCTTAGGAGATTGGTTACTGAGAGGACAAAATAGTTATAGCCAAAATGTGTATTTCATGTAACAGTTCCATGTTGATTCAATTCTATTTTAAATTACTTTCAGTGCTTAGTTTTACAGACATTAAGATGTGACTGTATTTTAAAAAATTCAGTTTAGTTTTTGAAAGTTTTTTAAAAATATATTTCTATGAAATTGATTGGGAATGCATCTCAAAACAGTGAAATTGATAGAGTATTAAAAAGGGTGAAAATATTAGCATCTTTTCTATGTTAGGCATCTTCTATTTCAGTCCAATGCCTGCATTGCAGTGAAAAATCAGTTGCACTGCCTGAATCTAAAATATAATGAATGGTCATCTTAGAGGTTTGTGGTTAGTTCTGCTTGTTAGCTCAGTGTCTAATTTTAATGCTTTCTCTCATTCTAGGCTTTTGGTTACTCCCCTTCCCACCCCATCCCTTAATTTTATTCTTTTGAAGAGTCTGCATTTCAAGCTGCCAAGGTGGAGAATGTGATTGCAGAAGAGTGTGCTTCTCATTTAAGGTATCTTACGCTCTAGCTGTTAATAGGAGAACCATTTTGATTCAAGATCTAACGTGAGAATACACAAAGCTTACTCTAGCCAGATCATTAAGTTTAAATCAAAAGTAGCTGTATTTGGAAAGATACTGAATTTGTATGCCCTAATATATAAAGCTGATAGTATTCTTTAAAGGTTCTTAAATTTGCATTAATCTTCCTCTTAATTATGCTTTTTTTTTTTATTATATGAAGCATAAATTTGTTAAGATGAGAGTTTATTTTCTTTAGGTCCTGGTTAAGTCTTCAGCTATGATGGGATGCAGAGTAACCATTAAAAATATACATGACTTTGAATGAGTCTTAATACGGGTAATATAAATATTTATGTAATTTTAAGTCCAGGGAAATAGTAGCTAACTTGGTCTACAGTTTATTTTTCACAGTATTACACAGGACATAGTATTTAGGATACAGTAGACTTCCCTATCTTGCAAAACTTTGAACTGTGTACATGTTTTTAATATAGCTCATCAGAATTGTTGCTAGCCCTGAAGGGAACCTTCAGATGTTTAGTAGTATCAACCGTGAATACACCTCATGGCAGTAGGCATCAGAAAATTAAACGATTCCAAGATACTATATACCATAGAACAAAGTTGGCAAACTGTGGCCCATGCTGTCTCTTGTTGTAAATAAAGTTTTATTGGAACACAGTCATGCCCATTATTTTATTACCTGTGGCTGCTACTACACTACAACTATGTATTTGAGTAGTTGTGACAAAGACTGCATGGCCCACAAAGCCGAAAATGTTTGCTATCTGGCCCTTTACAGAAAAAGTTTGCCAACCACTATCATTTCTCAGCGCATGTTCCTCAAGGTCCCTTCCTTAAAAGTATGCTCAACTCTTCATTATTTCTTAGCCCAATGATTCCCAAATTGTGTTTTATAGAATATTAATAATTCTCTAAGTTAATAAATGTTATGAGAAAAAGATTGATGCTAACAGTAGTTTTTTTTATAAAGTTTATTTTAAAATATTAAGCTTAAGACTGCTAAACTCATTCATATAGCTTTTATTTTTATGTGATAATCTACCTTTAAGAAAAGGTGTGCCATACCTGAGAGTACCAGGAAGTCGCATGAGAGATCACCTGATTCATGAACATAAGATGTTCCATCTGCGCATTGATGCATAAGCAGCATTTACAAATTAACTGATGTGTTGCTGTATATCATCTCTTTGATGATTGCTCGTCTTTTATGTATCCTGTCTTATAATTTCAACACATATGAGATACTCAATGTTTATTCTAAATTAACCATGTTTTGTACCACAAACTCATTGCCCACGGATCTGTTGCTGAAAGAAGGAAGTCTTAAACAAGAGGTAGAATCTTTTTGTTACCAAATTGTGTCTGAATCAAATGATCAAAAGGTTGGAATATTACAAAGTGAAGATGAACAGTTGCAGCCTTCAGTTTCTAAAAAGTCAGAAAGTGAGCTTCCCAGGGTCAAATTTATGTCTAATTCCAATAAAATAACATTTAGTAAGAAACCAAAAAGAAGAAAATATGATGAAAGTTATTTGTCTTTTGGATTTACTTACTTTGGAAATAGAGATGCACCTCATGCTCAGTGTGTGTTATGTAAGAAAATTTTATCAAATAGCTCTTTAGCCCCTAGTAAGCTTCGAAGACATTTGGAAACTAAACATGCTGCATATAAAGACAAAGACATAAGCTTTTTCAAGCAACATCTTGATTCACCTGAAAATAGTAAACCCGCAGCACCTAAAATCGTCAATACAGATAATGAAAGTGCTACAGAGGCATCATACAACGTAAGTTACCATATAGCACTGAGTGGAGAGGCTCATACTATTGGAGAATTGCTTATCAAGCCATGTGCAAAAGATGTAGTGATGCGGATGTTTGATGAACAATATAGTAAAAAAATAGATGCAGTACAGCTATCAAACAGTACTGTTGCACGTCGAATTAAGGATCTAGCTGCTGACATCGAAGAAGAGCTTGTTTGCAGACTGAAAATTTGTGATGGGTTTTCACTGCAGTTAGATGAATCAGCTGATGTTTCAGGACTGGCTGTGCTACTTGTGTTTGTTCGTTACAGGTTTAATAGGTCTATTGAGGAAGACCTACTCTTATGTGAATCTTTGCAAAGTAATGCTACTGGTGCGGAAATATTCAACTGCATCAACAGTTTTATGCAGAAACATGAAATCGAGTGGGAAAAATGTATTGATGTTTGTAGTGATGCTTCTAGGGCAATGGATGGAAAAATAGCTGAGGCTGTCACCCTTATAAAATACGTGGCACCCGAAAGCACCAGTAGTCACTGCCTATTATACAGACATGCGCTGGCAGTTAAAATAATGCCTACATCTCTGAAAAATGTGCTAGATCAGGCAGTACAAATCATTAATTATATTAAAGCCCGACCACATCAATCCAGACTACTAAAAATTTTATGTGAAGAAATGGGTGCTCAGCACACAGCACTTCTTCTAAATACAGAAGTGAGGTGGCTTTCCCGGGGTAAAGTTCTTGTAAGACTTCTTGAGCTTCGTCGTGAACTATTGGTTTTCATGGATTCAGCTTTTCGACTGTCTGATTGTTTAACAAATTCATCTTGGCTACTAAGACTTGCATATCTTGCAGATATTTTTACTAAATTAAATGAGGTTAATTTGTCAATGCAAGGAAAGAATGTGACCGTTTTTACAGTATTTGATAAAATGTCATCATTGTTAAGAAAATTGGAATTTTGGGCCTCATCTGTAGAAGAAGAAAACTTTGATTGTTTCCCTACACTCAGTGACTTTTTGACTGAAATTAATTCTACAGTTGATAAAGATATTTGCAGTGCCATTGTGCAGCATCTAAGGGGCTTGCGATCTACTCTGTTAAAATATTTTCCTGTTACAAATGACAGTAATGCTTGGGTTAGGAATCCATTTACAGTAACTGTCAAACCAGTCTCATTAATAGCACGAGACTATGAGAGCCTGATTGATTTAACATCTGATTCTCAAGTGAAACAAAATTTCAGTGAACTTTCACTAAATGATTTTTGGAGTAGCCTAATTCAGGAGTATCCAAGCATTGCAAGACGTGCAGTTCGTGTTCTTCTTCCTTTTGCTACAATGCACCTGTGTGAAACAGGATTTTCATATTATGCTGCAACAAAAACAAAATACAGGAAAAGACTTGATGCTGCACCTCATATGCGGATCCGGCTTAGCAACATTACACCTAATATTAAGCGGATATGTGATAAAAAGACACAAAAACACTGTTCTCATTAAAATTGGGGGGTTTTGCATGTCTCTTGATAACCAAATGTAAGATGAAAATAAAAGATGATTTACTTCAGTTCCAGTATTTTGAGGTTTCTTTAAATAAAATGATTCAAATATTTTATACTTCTTAGATTTATAAGAAAGCCAGAGACTCAAAAACTTAACACATACTGTGTTATTGTTGGTATTTCTTCTCTACATTGTAATTTGAAAGGATTCTATGGTCATAACCATAGGAAATGCACAAGATAATGTCCTAGTTCCTTAGCATATCTCGTCAAGATCTGATCCCTATGTCTTTCTAGCCATGTGTAACCTGAATCCCCCCAGTAACATGGAACTTCTTGCCATTCCCTAAACATATCACACACTTTCATTCTTTCAGGTCTCAAAAAACTATTCCTTTCCCATTTTGCTTCCTGACAAATTTCACCTTTCTACCCTTTGACTTAACTTATCGTAGATACTTTCATTCTCTATATCTTTCTATTTTAATCCTGTCACGCTGTATTTGCTTTTGTGTCTGTCTCTACTGTTGAACTTAATGGTGGTATCATGACTCCAGTATTATTGGACTAACGTTTTTAAGGGTCTTTTCCAGCTGTGTCTCCATTATCTGGCACGAGGCATTACTAAAGTAGATGCTCAATAAAGGAATAAATGTTGAGGAAGGTGGACCAACAAAAATGGAGTAGAAGTTTTCTACTATTCACTTGGCGTGGTGGCTTGTGCTTGCATACTCTGTATGTGGACAGAATTCTGCACTTTTTGGTTTTGTCGCAGTTATTCTGATTAGCATTGAACGTGGCAGTCGTGCAGAAGTCAGTGAGGAATGTCACAGCTTTGATTTAGTTTGAACTGTTGAGGGAGAAGGAGGGAAGTATGAAAAACAATTTTCAGAGATTTTGTTTCTTTCTCAATTCCTGTCTAGATTTTTGCAAATTCCATATCCTTTAGTCTAAATTAATGATGTTTTACTATACTTAAAGATGATTAAAATTACAGTAATTGAAATCCCTATCAATTTATTCTTGGAACACTATAAAAGACTTCTGACTGACTTTCCTGCCCAAGGTTCCTCTTCCTATGTCACATCACACAACACAGGTCACCAACTCATTGTTCTTTAAATGTTTCAGTTGTGCTAATCCAATCCTGTAGTCAAGAGCTACCATAAATAGCTATTACTTATTTAATGTTACTTATTCAAACTTATCTTCCATGTTGAGGAGTAGGAGTGCCTCCCCTCAGGCAAAGTGTAGAGTGACTAGATTGAGGTACCTGCTCCACTACTACTAGTTATTTAACCTTGGACAATTTAACCTTCCTTAGCCTCAGTTATCTGTAAAATTATAATTACGCCTTCTTTAAAGGGTTATTGTGAAGATTAAATGAGAATATATAAAATTAACAGCGGGTCATCAGGAATAGGTATGCAGTACATATTAGTGTCCTCTCATACCCAACCATGTCCTAGTTAAACTTGTCTCCTCAGTCTGAGGTTTTTTTTATTCTCTGGTGAGTCATCAGCTGTCCAGTCCATAAGAACCTATCCTAACCTAAGGCAGCAAATTAAGGATTTCTAGCCTCTCCCCCCCGACCCTTTTTCTTATTTGTGATCTTAACTATGCACGTATTTCTTATGTCCGGTGCTTTACTATATACTTTGTATGTTCTGGTGGTGCAGTAGTTAAGAACATGGCTGCTGACCAAAAGGTCTACAGTTCAAATCCGCCATCCGCTCCTTGGAAACTATGGGGTAATTCTACTCTGTCCTATCAGGTCGCTATGAGTCGGAATCGACTAGACAGCAGTAGGTTTGTTTTTTTGTTTATTTTTTGTGTGTTATCAGTAATCTCTACAGCAATTCTGTGGGGTTAGGTAATTGTTGGACTTGCCTGAGATCACACAATAAATAGAATTTAATTTAAAATGGTTCTTTTCCAAAGACCATACCTTGTCTAGTAACTGCCTTTCAAACTTTTCCTAAGAGCATCAAGACAGTGATTTGGGAGTATAGCCTAAAACTCCCTACTAAAATCTGGACATTGTTTTGAAATCTTGTGTTTTCAGAAGTCTTCCAAAATTGGAAGTCTGCTTCAAAGACTGAGTGCTGCTTATTTTAATATAAAAATACAGATTAAAATTGCTATCAAGTAAAATTCTCCAAAAAGATGCGTCGTAATTTCTTACACGTGAAACAGTCAACTAATCCCATAATTAAATGTACCCTAGTTTGAGAAGCGTGTACAATGTTAAAATATCTGTATCTGACTTATACCTAAAGTCTGATAGCTAGACTCATTATGTGATTCCTGAACCTGACCCTTTATTAGGTCATCTGCCCAGGATGTCAGCCTCTTGAGATGTGAGACCTCTCTTGCTTTCCAATCCTTGTCCTCCAACCTCCTCTGAGAGTCTAGTTTCCTGCATTTACTGGGGATCCTGCTGTCTGCTGCTATCCTCCTTAATTCTGACCCTACCCAACTTTTTCTTGGTTCTTGATACTGACTGCGCACCTGCTCTAAAACCTATCAGATTAACCTATAGCAACAATGGATGACTAGTGAAAATAACTTTCAGCATCTGGAGGTGGTTTTGGTACCTGCTTGACGATAAGCAAGTGTAGTTCCAGGCAGCAACTTCTAGGTTGTCCTAACCTGTAGTTGCAAGAACCATGACTGAATCCCAAAAGAGAAGATTCTTTTCCTTTGTTTAAACCCTACCTACCCTTCAGAATGGGCCCATTCCTTAAATAAAACCAAAGCAAACCAAGCTAAGTCTTGAGCACTGTGAGCCTCTCTTTCTTGTGTACTTCCAAAGCCCTTTGGTTTTCATTCTGCCATTGCATCCCTAAGGCTCCCCATACTAGAGGCAGCATTGGTAGAGCTAGAGGTGAGCCTCTTACAAAAACAAAAGTAAACTCTTTAAGGAAGAAAGGAGTGGTGTTTCACTTAAGATATTTGAGGACTAAGTGTTATTTTCATGGTACCCTCAAATGACAGCTACCCTTTTTCCTGTGTATGAAAAGGAAAGTTCCTCTTACGTGTCCAACTCAAAAGGACTTCCCCACTTTTAGTTCCTATGTTTCAAGTAATTGAAATTACCTTGATTTCTTAATGAGGATTGTTTCAGATCAGTCTTACCATAAATTATAAACTCTTTGTAGCTAAGACTTCTACTTCTTCTGAGCCATTCATAGAACTTAAATTTCCTAGCTCAAAAAGTGAGTTACTAAGTTATTAGGTGAAATAAAATTTGTACTATAACATGAAAATTAGCTTTAAAATCCTTGGCCTCACTTAGATAAGGCAGTAACTAGTCTTTGCCTTTCAAAGACTTAAAAAGCATCATTTCTTTAAATAATAAACTCACTTGTTGCATTAAAAATGTGATTTTACTCCCCAAGGTATAACTCACCTACAACTCTTGAAAGAACCCATCAGCTATGTAAATCTAGGTGCCTCTGGAACTTATGCATGTTTGTTATCTACTTTCATTTTTTAAGTTGGTATAACTGCACTGTTAATTAGTACAGTGGAAAGAATTCCGAAGTAAGTCGAGAGATTTATGTTCTGCAACTAATTAACTGCCTTAGATAAGTTCATCCTCCTTTGTAGGCATTAGTTTCTTGTTTTATTATATGAGTGAGGTTGAACTAGAATGAGCCTAAAATCTTTATCAGATATGATCAAATTTTAAACCTCTAAATAAAAATTAAGATGATAGAATGTATTCAGTTATTTGAAATACCTATATATGAGGTTTTTTCTTAGAAGTCAAGTTTTTTCAAGCAGTTGTTTACCATAATACTTTCTACCAACCAAATGATAAAATTTATTAATTGTCCAATTGTGTATACTTAATGAAAGGAATAAAGTGGTTTTTGGGGCGGAAGATGTACTTTGAAATTTAGAAAAGATGGGAGGAGACATAAGATGTTTGGTTATGACTGTGTTGGAATTCAGTGTAGATTAAATTGTAATTACAAAGTGTTAGGCTGGCTGCAGTGGAAATTGTTGGCCATCTCTCTAGTACCTATTTTCCTCTCCCAAACTGTACCCTTATTTTCTTGAGGCATCCATTCTTCCCCTACATAATCTGTGTGCTTAAGAGTAAGCTATCCCGTCTCCAGCTTGTTTTGTCTAAGACCGTAGTTCTCAAATGTTTTTTTGGCTGCAACCCACAATAAAAATAGATTTTACATTGTGATCCAGATGTGTATGTGTACACCAAAGTGTCACAGAACAACACTAACCACTTTATAGTGCAGTCTCAAACTGTATGTATTCCATTTAATATTTTAAATGATGTTTGGGACCCACAAATTAATTTCATGATCCATTCTTGGGTCATGACCCACTGTTTGAAAAACACTGGTGAGTGCAACGTCATTGCCTTTATAAAAATTGTTGGGGAATCTAGATCTAAGCCAACGAAGGCGTAATATTACTCTGGCCACAAATTGGTTCAGGAATAACAGGTGACCCAATTCAAGCCAGTGAAAAGCAAGAGCAAAATTACGGGGGCTTTGAGAAGATGTTTCCTCGTTCTTAAGAAGAACAGATAAAGTATCCTGCATACAAGTGAGACCTGGAATTGCCGCAGTTCTCTAGCTGCCAGCTTGGAGAGCCAACACATACAGGAGAGCAGAGCCAAAAAATTAGTGAGAAATGAAATCAGACTCCTGACTCAACCACACTTGATTAGTACTCTGCCTTTAAGTTTTTGTTACCTAGGCCCATAAATGCCTTTCTTGTTTGAGCCAGTTTAAGGTGGGCTCTCTTATTACCACAGACAGAATCATCTTTAGTATAGTCCCAGAGGGAAAGCAATATAAAACTTTAAAAGGTTTTGTTAACTTAGCTGCAATAATGAGATGAGTGCCATCTCATCTAAGATAGTCTGGTCTCTGGTTATTCAGTCATCTACCATAGTATTATCATTCATAACTGTGCTACTAATAATGTAGACCAGAAGCTAATTTGTTACATGTATTGACATTGGATATCATCAAATACCATTTTATTTCTGTTAGTGGGGCAGTCTTACAATAGATTTTATTAGGCTGATCTAGTCATGAATCAGGTATATAATCAATATTAAAAACTAATCTTGCTCTGCATTCTACTTTGGTGAGTAGTGTCTGGGGTCTTAAAAGCCTGTGAGC